CGCCGGTGCTGTTTTGTGGTTTTTTTTTTTTTTTTTTTTTTTTTTTTTTTTTTCCCCCCCCCCCCCCCCCCAAAGGTTTTCTCTCTCCTCTCTTCCTCTCTCCTGCCCTTCTCACTTGCCCCAGGCTACGCACCGGTGACGGGGATGTGCCACCCGCTCCGCAGCTGCACCCTCAACCACGAAGACGGCTTCTCCTCGGCGTTTGTTGTCGCCCATGAGACTGGCCACGTGTAAGTCACAGGGACAGAGCAGGCTGTCCCCTCTGGTGGCTTTTCCCCTTCCTCCGGTGACGTGGTGGGGGCAGCATCACCGCGGTGGTGGGGGGACGAGCGTGGTGGTGCCTCTTGCTTTGCAAAAGGGACTTTCTGCTGGTGCAGGTGTGTGGACCGCCGAGGAAGGAATAGGTAAATATCCCAGGAACCCGACTTTACGCCGGCTTTTCCCACCAGGTTAGGCATGGAGCACGACGGCCAGGGCAACCGCTGCGCCGACGAGACCAGCATGGGGAGCATCATGGCGCCGCTGGTCCAGGCCGCCTTCCACCGCTACCACTGGTCCCGCTGCAGCAAACAGGAGCTCAACCGCTACATTCAGTAGGTTGATTTTAATCGGGGAGGGGACAAACACACAATGTTCTCCCTTTGGATGGTGAAGCTGCTGCGTGAAGCAAGAGGTGGACAGGTCCCCATTGGGATTGCTTGTTTTGGCCAGAATAGCAAAAAATGGTCTTTGGGAGGTTATTTTCCCTTTTTCTTCTGCTAACAGCGTTGGTTCCTTGCATGAGTCTGAATTGTTTTTTGGGCTGTGGAAGCTGGAGGCAAATAAGAGCCTGATAAAAGCTGGAGATGTCGACGGAGCAGTAGTTTGCAGAAGCTCAGTGCGGGTGGAGCCCAGATCCAGACCCCAAATATTCTTGCTGTTTGCTTTGGGCAGCCTGCGTGGTTTCCCCTTTAGGCTATAAAACGTCGTGTGGAAACAGGCTGGGAGCTTTCCATGTGCCGGGGCTGAGAGGAGGAGCAGGGAAGCGGGGGGCGGTGGGGGCACCCACTAGCGCCCAGGCACTCTGTCCCCAAGGGAGCGGAGGGATGCTTGTCCCTGGGGGACTCTGCACGGTTGGTCTTTGCTGGGAACGCGTTTTCCAGCGGTGGGTGGGTAGCGTCAGCGCCAAGATCGTTCGGAGTTCTCAATATCTGGATCTGGAGAGAGGGCTGGAGGTGAAGGAAGGGCCGAAAGGAGGGCTTTGCCTCTGCCCTGCGTCTCTGCAGCTCCTATGACTGCCTCCTGGATGACCCCTTTGAGCACCAGTGGCCCACCTTACCCGAGCTGCCGGGCATTAACTACTCCATGGACGAGCAGTGCCGCTTCGACTTCGGCGTGGGCTACAAAACGTGCACGGCGGTGAGTACGGAGCCAATACAGGTTGCGTGCCCGTATTGGACCCCACCCTCCGAGACCTCCATCCAGCCGCTGCGGGGATGAGGAGGGACCTCCCCGCTGCCGTCCCAGCCCAGCTCCTCTGTGCTCCCTAGTTCCGCACCTTCGACCCCTGCAAGCAGCTGTGGTGCAGCCACCCAGACAACCCCTACTTCTGCAAGACCAAGAAGGGACCACCCTTGGATGGGACCGAATGTTCTCCGGGCAAGGTAGGGGCTGGTCCTGCCTGATCCTTCCTCGGGAGGGGACAGGGACACCCTCGAGGGCAGCAGGTGGTGGGATGCCCAGTTTCTAGCCGGCGTTGCTCCTTGTTTTCCCCAGGTTGTGCTCAGATGGGGACTTTGTTGGTCTTCTGGTCTGCTTCTGCAGAGGAGCAGGAGGCGTTTTGTCACCTGGCGGAAGAATGGTGACGTCATTGCACATCCAACCTCGTGATGTCATCAGGCTTTTACTTTAGGCTCTCTTAGCGTGCCTGTTAGCCCAGCATGAAAGCATGGATATGCTGGAAAAGCTGCTGGCCACTGTAGTTTTTGGGTGATTCTTTGCTGGAGAAGGGCTGGGCGTAAAATATCCAACAGCTTCTGATAAGTTTCTGTATAAATCCCATCAATCTTGGTGAAGATGCAGCCTCCTCGAGTGCTCAAATGGTGGTTTGCCAAAATGCTTCCAAAATTAGGCTTTTTCGGAATCGTGTACAGACGTGTTATGAGTCGTGCTGGCAAGTGGCTCCAGAGGACTGCAGCGTCTGGACTGGGAGGTCCTTCCTTCAGGTCCTTCCCCAGGGCTGGAGTTAAACGCCGGGTCTGGGTGCCCATGGGGTGACACCACACCTTCATGCCTAGGAAGAGGTGCGGAGCTCTGGATTTCCTTTACCAAAACGCCCGGCAGCTTGCTGCTCTGCTCCTTGCCAAATTTTGGGTTCATCCCCACCCTGTGCTGGGGGGAGACATCCCCAGGGCTGATCCAGTCCCAGCCCTAGGTATAAATCAGTGCCTGCCCAAGGATCTGCATGGATGGGTAGGAGGAGGCGGTCTGACCGGAGAGAGAAAAACAGTCCGGGAACTCAAAAATACAACGTTGGGGAAAGAAGATCAAAGGAAAAACTATGGGCCGTTTTCGTCACGCTGTGGGTGTAGGAGGGCTCTCTTTGCTGGTGCTGAGCACTTTGGAAGGGGCATGAGTGGAGCTCACCCCTCTTTTCTCCTCCCTTCCAGTGGTGCTTCAAAGGTCACTGCATCTGGAAGACATCGGAGCAGCCCTACAGCCAGGATGGCAGCTGGAGCTCCTGGTCCAAGTTTGGCTCCTGCTCCAGGACCTGCGGGGGAGGCGTGCGCTCTCGCAGCCGGAGCTGCGACAACCCACCGTACGTTTGGCCTCCACCGCCCTCCTTTTTTAGTAGGGGTAAAACTGGAAGTGGCTGAGAGCCAGAGGTTCCTCGCTCTTCCCCTTGTGCGCCCGGTCGGCAGGGATGGGGACATCTGCTCCTGCCTGGGCTATGACATGCATATAATTTCTCCAGGGAGACCCTAAAGCCACCTTCCAGTATCTCAAGGGGGCCTACAGGAAAGCTCGAGAGGGACTTTTTACAAGGGCAGATAGTGATAGGATGAGGGGGAATGGCTTCAAAGTGGAAGAGGGGAGATTTAGATTAGATATTAGGAAGACATTTTTCACTCTGAAGGGGATGCGGCACTGGTGCAGGTTGCCCAGAGAAGCTGTGGCTGCCCCATCCCTGGAGGTGTTCAAGGCCAGGTTGGACGGGGCTTGGAGCAACCTGGGCTGGTGGGAGGCGTCCCTGTCCAGGGCAAGGGGGGTGGAACTGGATGATCTCCAAGGTCCTTTCCAACCTAAACCATTCTATGATTTGCGTGTTGAGCTGCATCGTGTTTGGACAGCATCCCCCCTGCCCTGATGCTCTTTTAACCCACCCGCTTTATTTTCCAGCCCGGCGTATGGCGGGCGCCATTGCCCGGGAGCCACCTACGAGTACCAAGTGTGCAACGCCGAGGAGTGCCCAGGGCCCTACCAGGATTTCCGTGCCCAGCAGTGCTCCAAGCGCAACTCCTACTACACCCACCAGAACAGCAAGCATGCCTGGCTTCCCTACGAGCATCACGACGGTGAGCGGCGGCGGGTCCTAGTAGCCAAATCGCCTCCTCTCCCAGAGGAGGCTGCACTGGTGGCCATCACCGTGGCTGGGCTGGGAGCCAGGTCCACCCGCCTGCCTTGGTGTTCCTCATGCACGTGGCCAAGCGTCTTCTCGCCTTGTGGTGTCACATCGTGTGTCCTGTCCCGTTGCCTTCTCTTAATTTCATTGAGTCTGCTGGGCAAAAGCGCTGGCTCTGGAGCAACGAATGGACGCGGCCGAATACGGCGCATGATTAGCCTGGGCTTTGGGTGGGACAAGCTGAGATGGGTTTCTATTTTCAATCACCCTAATGTTTTTCCACAAACCCCTTCCTCCCCTCTCTTCCCCACCTCTTTTTCCCCTTTATGTTTTATTTTGCCGCAGATGCTCAGAAGTGTGAGCTCATTTGCCAGTCTGAGGGAACGGGGGACGTGGTGTTCATGAATCAGGTGGTTCACGACGGCACCCGGTGCAGCTACCGAGACCCCTACAGCATCTGCGTCCGGGGCGAGTGCGTGGTGAGGAGCTGATGGATGCTGTGTGAGCGTCCCTGTCCCTTACCTGTCCAGGAGAGAGCTTGTGCATCCCCTTGACCCCATACCCCTCGGGGACGCACGTCTTAACCCCTGTGTGCAGCCAAGGGCTACGGGGACGGTGGAGCAATGAGATGGGCTGCAGGAACGTAACCCCGTGCTCGTCTTCTCTTCCCCGCGGGTGACAGCACGTCGGCTGTGACAAGGAGGTCGGCTCCCTGAAGCAGGATGACAAGTGCGGGGTCTGCGGGGGGGACAACTCCCACTGCCGGACGGTGAAGGGCACGCTGGCCAAGACCCCCAAGCAGCCGGGTGAGTAGGCAGGGTGGGTTTGGGAGCAGATTCGGTCAGGGTCAGCTGGATTCACACATCCCGGTGGAGCAAACCTGCTCTTTCTCTTCCCTCCATCCATCCTCCCTCCCTTCCATTAGGTGTTTTGAAGATGTTTGAGATTCCGGCCGGGGCCAGGCACCTTCAGATAGAAGAGGTGGAACCAGCATCCCACACCATCGGTGAGCACGCCGTAGTTCACCTCTCCCTTCACCCGCTACCTCTTTCTCGGGCCTGTTCTGACAATTCCCACCCAAAGGGTCGTCTTTGGGTCATTCCAGTCCTTCAAAGGCAGTGACCAGAGGAAATGACGTTGAAATACCTCCTTTCTCCTCCAGCTGTTAAGAATCAAGCCACGGGTAACTTCATCCTTAACGCCAAGGGCAAAGAAGCCAAAAGCCAAGTGTTCATTGAGATGGGCTTGGAGTGGGAATACACCGTTGAACATGGCAAGGAGAGCCTGAAGACCAGCGGTCCTCTGCACGAGGCCATCAGCGTTTTGGTAAGCCTGGCTGATGCATCCTCCAGACGCGTCAGGGATGACTGTCACCCAGAGGTACAGGGAGAGGAGGCGGTCTGAGATGGGAGGTAGGAGGTGATGGAAGGATTTTGGTGGAGAAAGGGCATAGGGCATGGCTTTAAACCCAGGGAAATGAGGGAGCCAAATGGAAGGGGCAATGAGCTGCAGGCAAGAATGGCACAAGGACGCATCGCTTGGGTGTTTGCCTTTGAATCCAACTGTATTTTGCTGTCTCATTTTAGTTATGCTGGTATTTGGGGGAGTTAGGGACTGGGTCCCCTGGGTGCCCACGGGAGGGTAGGTCTGCACTCCCACCCATCCCTGCAGCCGATGCTGGCTTTGGGCATAGACTATGGTCCTGCAGGTCAGAGGAGGGGCCAAGGGCATGCCACCCAAGGCTGGAGTTGGGATGTTTGGGCACTGTTTTTCTCCGCAACTGGAGAGGTACGTTCCCAAAGGGTGGACGCTGTGTTCGGAGCCCACCTATTCATATTGGAGGTAGTAATGGGGTTTGTTTCTCCTGCTCTTGTGCCCATTGTTCGCTTCTTTTTTTTTTTTTTCTTTGATGGCCTCCTCTTCCCTTCCGTCTCCCACGGCATCATTCCTTCCTCTCCTTCCCCATCTCCAATTGTTCTCTCTCTGCCTGCAGGTCATCCCTCAGGGGGAGGAGGTGAGGAGCAGCCTGATGTACAGGTACATCATCCATGAAGACCTGCTGCCCATGATCGGGAACAACAACGTCCTGCTTGAGGAGATGGATTCCTACGAGTGGGCCCTCAAGAGCTGGTCTCAGTGCTCCAAGGCGTGTGGAGGAGGTAGCTTTCCCTTCGTAGCAGGCTACAGCGTGGGCTTGGAAGGATGCTTGGGTGTGTTGGGCAATGCGTTAGCCCTTTGGGGCATCTCTGGTTTGGTAAGGTGCAGATGCTGTTTGAAATCGTTTCTCCCCAGGATGGCAGATGGCAAGGCTTTAGAGCTAGACCTGGTACTGCGTGGAGGCCTGGCTTTCTCGCTTTCTCTTTCACCCATACCCATGTTCTTTGCACCTTTTTAATTTGGGGGATCTACCATGTGGGAACATGAGTGTTAAAAAACACTATTGCAGAGCAGTTTAGGAGAGCGTTTTAGCCAGATTTCTTATGAAAACAGGCTGCTGTGATCATGTGTGCATACCTTTGTCTGTCTATGAACCTAATGAAACTCAACAAGGGCGTGTGTAGGGTACTGCATCTGGGGAGGAATAACCCCATGCATCAGTACAGGTTGGGGGCTGACCTCCTGGAGAGCAGCTCTGTGGAAAGGGACCTTGGGAGTCCTGGTGGACAAGAGGATGACCATGAGCCAGCAATGTGCCCTGGTGGCCAAGAAGGCCAATGGCATCCTGGGGTGCATCAAGAAGAGTGTGGCCAGCAGGTCGAGGGAGGTCATCCTCCCCCTCTACTCTGCCCTGGTGAGGCCACATCTGGAGTGTTGTGTCCAGTTCTGGGCTCCCCAGTTCAAGAAGGACAGGGAACTGCTGGAGAGGGTCCAGCAAAGGGCTACAGAGATGATGAGGGGACTGGAGCATCTTTCTGATGAGGAAAGGCTGAGGGACTTGGGGCTTTTCAGTCTGGAGAAGAGAAGACTGAGGGGGATCTTATCAATACTTAAAAAAAAACCTGAGGAGGGCCTTCTCTGCTGTGAGGGCGGCAGAGCAGTGGCACAGGCTGCCCAGAGAGGTGGGGGAGTCTCCCCCTCTGGAGCCATCCCAAACCCGCCTGGACGCCGTCCTGTGCCACTGCTGGAGGTGCCCCTGCTCTGGTGGGGGTGGCACTGGGGGAGCTCCAGAGGGCCCTTCCAGCCCTCACCAGTCTGGGATTCTTGTGATTCTGTGAGTTTTGAATTCGTTGGCTGTTTTTAACCCACTTTGAGCCAACGGGTAGTGATTTTGCAGATGACTGCTCCCAAAGCTTGCATGGAGATAGGTGTGGACGCACCAGTAAGTGCTGTGTTGGAGGGCAGGTAGCACACCTGAGCTCCTGGTGGAGTTATCGCTGGATTTTTCCCTCTGCGATGAAGCACGGGTGGCCCCATGCTGGCGTCGGGGGTTTGCCATAGAAAGGCAAGGCTTTCCTCAGCAATCAGTGGCATCTGATTTCGCAGCTGGCCCTGCTCTGAGCAGGTGCTGGACCAGAGACCTCCAACCTAGCTGACCCTCAAACGATGGAGAAGACCTCGCGTTTTCACCTTGCGCCGCCCAGCTCGCGGCTGGAAGATTGTGGGGACTTGCAGAGGTGGAAAGGGAAGCCTTCCTGGCTCCAGGGACCTCGCTGCAGCAGGATTCCTGGCAGAGCTGCAGGCAGCTCGTGGTTAAGGCTGGCTTAGCCCCGGTCGGGTCTGCTCCCGAGCAAGCGCGGCTTATTTGGCACATTATAGCAGTGCTTTGGCTGGGCTTGCGGCGTGCTGCCTTTCCCCCCTCCCCCCAGTCTGGGAAAATCAAGCCAAATCTGTAGCTCACTAAGTGCTCGTGGTGGTGTCTCCCCCAGGAAACTCCGTTGTCTTGACCTGGGTTTTCGGGAGAGCAGCATGGGGAAGGGGTGGGGGGAAAGCGGAGTTTGCTTCGTCCCCTCTCCGTGTGTGCACCCCGCCGCAGGATGGGCGACCCCAGGAGGTTGGGAGAGGAGGTGGGGGGGGATTTCCACCACCCACACGAGCATCCTCTGCAAGCCCGGGCGAAGCACCGCTTGGATCCCACCTGAGCAGTGACATCTGAGCGCACGCATCCCGGTAGGGATGCAGGAGAAGGACGGGGCGAGGAGCGGGTGGGACATGCTCTGCACCTCACTCCCCCCTCCCTCCCCAGGCATCCAGTACACCAAGTCCGGCTGCCGGCGGAAAAGCGACAACCGGATGGTGCATAGAAACTTCTGCGACAACGGCAAGAAGCCGAAGCCGATCCGGCGGCGCTGTAACCTCCAGGAGTGCTCCCAACCAACGTAAGTCCCCCCATACCTGGCTCAAGATGCTCTCATCCCCTATGATATATAGGTATATAAATACTTATGGGGGGGAGGAGCGTTGGGAGCGCGCCGGCTGCTCCCCAAGCGCGGGCATCTCCTCTTAACACCTGGTCCCATCTCCATCCCCCTTTGGCAGCTGGGTGGCCGAGGAGTGGGGCGCCTGCAGCAAGTCCTGCGGCAAGCTGGGGGTGCAGGCGCGGGCGGTGCAGTGCGTGCAGCGCCTGCAGGACGGCACCAACCGCACTTTGCACACCAAGTACTGCCCCGGGCAGCGGCCCGAGACGCGCCGGCCATGCAGCCGCCTGCCCTGTCCCGCACAGTGGAGGACGGGCGCCTGGTAGGCGGTGAGATGGG